GTATCATTTAATTTAATATATCATTGTCGGTGAGCTTGTTTAAGTTTATATATTGATATCTTAAGTTTACAGACCATGTATTCTTTACTTTATAATGTGAAGCTTTCAGGTTGTTCCATATAGACTTCTTATTTCTAAACCCCATTTAGAAAATTTATTCACATCTATTTGATATAACTCTAAATCATAATAAACTACTAATGCCATGATATTTTAAAAGAATCTTTCTTAAATACTGAAAAGAATGTTTCTTTATAATCTCTTCATTTATGGCGCTAATTCATTTAGTAAAATCATTACTGTTAATGGTTTGTGAATATGTAACCGGATTCGTATATATCTTACTATATATCAAAATCAGATTCTTGCAGATATATCACACAGTCATCCGGAATAACAAAGCTTCTTTATCTTTGAGATCGTTTTAATGTTATTCCTTATGATTTTTCTACAATTTATTCATTGGTGACAACATCATTATGAAGTTGTTGATTATTCAATTGTTCTTCGTTGTTATACGGTTCAACAACTGAATGAATAATTATTTTCTTAGAAGTTATAGGTAAAGAGATTTATACCATAACTTCTAGAATGATCACATTCTTATTTTTATCACTCCCATTAATTTCACCATTCTCAATGAATCTGACATTACTGATTTCAATAATTATCGTATTATGTTTAGGATAGTAAAACTTGTACCCTTTAGATTACTTAACATCCACAACATTATAGGTAACGAGGAATTACGTAACATTGTACGATTATGCATTTCAGCTACACGTTTCTGTTGCGGCATGCATGGCATAGTGTATTGAGCACAAATGTCATGCATCTCAAGAAGTTTAGCAAACGGATAGAGTAGTAATTCGTTTAATCATACTTTCTATAATATTCACCACCTCTACATGACCTTATGATTTTTACTTTTCTATCTAGTTGTTTTTCAACCTCATTTGTGTATACTTCAAGAGTACCCACAGTTTGAGATTTTTCATGCAATAAATAGATATAACCATAACGTGAAAAAATCAACTATAAAGGCGATAAAATACTTTTTTCTACCAAAAGATGGAACATCAGAAGGTTTACAAATATTTGTATGAATAATTTCAAAAAGTTTTGTACTTCTTGTGATTCATTTATTTGTGTTTTTGGTTTCTTTACCCTTAATACAATCTACACACACACTAAAATCAGTAAATTTTAGATACAGAAGAATCACATCATTGACTAATTTTTCAAACATTTCACTAAATATTATCCAGTCTTTTATGCCACAAGATAAATGAATTTTCATTCATTAAGCTGCACTTAATTCTAACATTATGATGGAAGGTCAAAAGGATTTTAATAAATAAACTATCAAGTTTAAATTTACAGAAATTATCAACAATAATACCATAACTCACAAATTAGAATTTCTTGAATAAACATCATTATCAAACTTAAAGGAAAAAACATTAATATAAAGTTTTGAAATAAAATCAAATTGAGAGAAATTGAAGAAATATAAAGAGTTTAAAACAATTTTAAAAAAATTTATTGTCTAAAACTAAACAAAATGCCTATATGGTTTCAACAATTTTTTTTTCCAATTCTTGTAAATAAGAAATTTTCATTTGAATTTGTGGTTTAGGTCATAAGAAATTCTTGCATCTATTAGAAACATAAACATTAGTACTTAAGTCAACCTATCATATATTAGAAGTAATATCAATAAGTGATTCGAAATATACAAAAGCTAAAAGCTTACTATTCTTTTTCGAATCATCATTTATGTTTTATGTAATCTTTCTAAAAGTATTCAATATATAAATGACACTTTTACATTATTACATTCATTTCTTTTAGTAGATTAATCTAAATCTTTTAATTTTTGGGTGTTGCTCTCTTAATGTCTTTTCAGGCTTATTCCCAAATTTCTTTCTAACTTTTTGAGTCATCAAATAAACAAAATGATTACCTTGCTGCTTAAGCTTCGTCTCCTCCTAAATTAACATAATGGTCAATTCTGTCACTTTCCACTTGTCTTAATAGTGTAACTTCGAAATGACCCATACTAAGTAGACAAGAAATTGAGAATAAATTGAACGAGAAAATTCTCATCAACAATCATCCCTAAGGTTCTTAATTTTGCAGCAACATTAGTCATCTCATAATTATGTTCATACATGGTACAAGTACCAACAAAAATGCATAATAGTGATATCAGTTAATAATTTTCGTTTAAGATATTTATCTACAATACGAAAACATTCTTACAGTAAAATATTCCTTAGCACTATCACTATGGGGAACAATCATTCGTATAACCATAATACTTAACTTACTCATTCCATTATGAGAAATTAGTCATATTGAGAATCAAAATAGATGTAGCATGCAAATTAAGGGATGTAATAAAATAAACATAATAAGATAAATTGCTCACAACAATAATGTTTTGAGTTAATAACACGTATGTATAACTTAAAAATATAAATACAATGTATAACTATAGTACCCCTTTGGGTGTCAACTATAAAATACTAATAATGATGCTTAAATGTATTTATATGTATATTTTCATTTGTGATGCATTATTTAATTAAACAAATAAATTACTTTTGGATATCCTATATCTACCTAATTAAGAAAATACATACAATTCCTTAATTTTTATTTAATCACTTGAAAATCAATTCCCTTTAGAGAATTATTTCTCATAATTAAATAAAGTCAATATTCATGAATACCATCAAAAATCATAAGCATCATAATTCATGAAATATTGTAATTATGTCTACTAATAAAATTAATATCCAACAACATTATTGTTAAGCCACTTTGGTAGCTACCAACCTTTACATATGTGAATATTAAATTAGCTAGTGACTAATTCATCTTTAATTATATTTACTACTAAAATTAATATTCATCAATCATTATGGTTAGACCACTTTGATAGCTACTAACCCTCGTAAACATGAATATTAAATTAGTTAGTTACTAATTCATCATTAATTTACCCATTTAACATTATGCACACATATTCATACTGATCGATCCAAATTTAAGTAGGTTCGATCTCAGAAATTTAATAGTTCAAAAAATTAAATAAAATATCATTTTATTTATATACATAATAAAACATATTGTTTTTATTTTTAGACTTGAAAATCATAATTGAATTAATTTAAAATTGATTTTCCATCATGTATGTATATTTGGGTACAAAATAATAAGTTATTTGCATGTCCAATAATATTAGATTAAGTTTCTAATCTCACATATTATTCTAAAAAATTAGATAATAAAATCAATAAATACATGTGCTTTATGTATTTAATAAAATAAAATCTTTCATCTCAGTGGACAATAATTGATATACAAATTGGTTTTTCATTAAAATAATAATAAACAACCACATTTACTACCACTTTTCAATTGTTATTTCAATAATGTACAGAAATAAAAAAACAATCACATAAATAGACAGTATTTTGTAATCACATAAATAGATAACATCTAGTTTGTCCATATCTATATAATACAAAACTCACCCAAATAAAGAAACGAATAGTCATATTTATGATTATATTACCATAAGTACAATTTAAATATATATATATATATATATATATATATATATATATGCTTATTCAAGAAAACAAATTATACTCCGTATATATTTTTCTTTATACGTATTATTTATACAACTTTAATAAAAAATAATGAGTTCCTAAACCGTGAGTTCTGATACTACATGAAAACTATAATTAATTCGTGAAAACTATTAATCACAAATTTACATAAATCCTATATCTTAGAACTTCATGATTTTCACATATCTATAATGTATAAATACGTCGAAGAGATCAAGGCAGATGTCGAGATCATTTATACGGAACGAACAACATGCTAAACTGCAATAGTCAAAGCGTGAAAACCGATTTATCTCTTTTGACTTTTTGCACACATAAATATTATACGTATTGTTTTCATTAGCATACATAATTGATTGGATATATACACTTTTATAAAAGGCAGAGAGAGGATCAATTTTCCTTTTTAGTAACCTTAATTCCACTTTCTATCAAAGTAAGGAATAAATAAGAAAACACTTCTCCAATAATTAATTACCATAAAGGTAATTTATAAATTGACCAAATAATATAATATTAATCTGATACCTATTTACTTAAGCACTAATTAATACAATATATCACATGTCCAAAACGTGCGAGCCACATATTAATCTTACATTGTTTATCAAAACGAAATATTTAATATTTAATCAAATATTAAATAATAGAAAAAAAATTGTCATAATTAATCCAAATATTCAAAATAAAAAGAAAAATCATAAGGCATAGACAAAACTTATGTTGAAATGACTTAACTATCTATAGTAATTGGGTTTAAATAGGTAACATATTACATATGTCATATTTACGATTATAACATGTTGAGTTAAATGGGTTATAAACGGGTTACATAGGTTGAATTCCTCAATTCTAACCCGACACAGTTAAGTAAACGGGCCAATCGTGTCGACCCTTCTATGACCCAAACCCGTTTATGTCAAACCCAAACCCTTTTAACTCATATCGTGTAATTTGCCACTCCTAATTTTAATACATGTTAATTCTACTAATCTTTTTTTTCTCCCCACTCAAAATAGGGCTTAATAGTATATTTTCTATCTTTTAAAATAGATAGTTAGAATTTCAATTTTCAAACGTACAACTAAGTGTGTGGGTGATATGTGTTCGATGATAAATTGATGAAGCTGGTCATATAGGAGGAGGAAAGCCCAAGTTTAGTAAATGGGCCAAAACTAACAAGGTTGGGCTACCGCAGCCCCAACTTGTACGTACCAACTAAAGTGGTCCAAGAAAAGGAACTAATTAACTAATCATAAATAAATAACGCCAGAACGTATTTAAATCAGGTAATGGCAAAATGGTATATATGTAGTTTGGTGAGGGCGGTATGTTGGCCTCACCGACTAACTCGGTGCAGGACGTTCGTTGGCAGAGAAATACAAAACATGAGTCTTAAATAGGACGAAGAGCCAACAAAATTCGACCCCAAATACCTCTATTTCTCTCTCTACCTGCGCTCGTTTCTCTCTTTCGTCTCTCGATTTTTCCGATTATCTGCACGAATCGATCATATTTTTAAGGTACTTTGCTATTCTCTCTCGATACTATTTGTGTGTGTTTTTATTTTTTTATTTTTATCATCTAATCCCTAATTTGGTTTGGGGGTTTAGGTTAGGTAATCTATCAAATATTTCAATTAAGCCTAATTAGGAACAACCGGGTTCGATTTTGCAACTCAAGATCGGCCAAAGTTGTCGTTTTGATAAGGTTTCTTCAGATTTTTGTGTCTAGTCTAGGGTTTCTATTTATGCCCTCCACTTCGACTCCTGCCCTATCTATTTTCTCAGGACAGGACGGGGATACTTATGCTTATAAGCTGATTAATCAATCGTGTACTTAACTATTTATGTTGTTCCTCTTTATTTTTATTTTTATTTTTATGAGATATACGTTTAATTATTTCTTTTAAATGTTTGTTAACTTGTAAGTTGATTCCTTGGTACTACCAAAAGGTTATGGAAGTTGGAAAGATCAAAGATTGCATTTTTAACCTTGTGCTGTAAGCCCGTCTGAATTTTTGTCAGCTTAGTTCATGATAATTGATGCTTAGAAAGTACTTCGTGTGATATATGATGGGTTTCTAGTATGTATTAATGATTTGCATTAAATGGTTAGATGTGAAGTTTTGGATTTACTGGAGGTAGTTGTTAGTTCGGTTTGTTTTCATAATGTCTTTTTTGGGAGATTTTTCATTCTTCATGTGTTGGTTTGATAGGATATGTTTTGAATCATAGTATACTATACTGTTGGGATATGCAGCTCTGGATGGTCACTTTTTATTACTTAATTTCCTACTTGTAAATGAGGTTCTGAATGACTAATATCTTATTTATTAGTTTAGAGCAAATTCAGTTGTTTTGTATTTTCTACAAGGCTTTTTAGGGAATCTGCAAAATGATTTGGGAAGGGGAAGAAATTTTTTCAGATTTTGGAAGTGCAACTTTTTTTATTTTTATTTTTTCAGTTTCTCGAAAAGAACTACCACTTCTCTCACATCACATGAAAGTTACCTTTTTCAGCGCTGTCATCCTAGATGAATGCTGTTTAGGGGTTTCCTTTTACGATTAACTGGCCGTGATTACAATGCCCATATGATTGAAATTGGTTAAGTTTTTGTTCTTTATGTATTTTCTTCTGGCAAAGTTACTCATGTGATGCACTTCACACGAGGCTTACTTGCTTTTATACTTTTGCTTTTATACTTATGCAGTTGGGAAGCAGATTCTCTGTACTGGTTGTAATTTATACTCCCTAGTCATTGAGATCATGTTGTTGCAGGATAGCGGAATAGATGGAGTCTTCCGAAGAGACAGGATGTCAAGCTCCAGAAGGCCCCATTCTTTGCATCAACAATTGTGGCTTCTTTGGTAGTGCAGCCACTATGAACATGTGTTCCAAATGCCACAAGGACATGATCCTGAAGCAGGAACAGGCGAAACTTGCAGCTTCATCAATTGAGAATATTGTAAATGGCAGTTCGGGCAGCAATGGGCCTGTGGTTGCTGGTGCTGTGGATGTGAAAGCTGAACCAGTGGAGTTGAAGGTTATTTCTACACAAGCAAACTGTGATGCATCCTCAAGCCAGAGTCCAGAGGTGAAGGCAAAACAGGGTCCGAATAGGTGCAGCACTTGTCGCAAACGTGTGGGATTAACAGGTTTCAATTGCAGATGTGGAAATCTTTTCTGTGCAGTTCATCGCTACTCTGACAAACACGATTGTCCTTTTGATTATCGGAGTGCTGCTCAGGATGCTATTGCCAAAGCCAACCCTGTTGTCAAGGCTGAAAAGCTTGATAAAATCTAGACGCCGTGGACTTAAAGGTTTATGTATTGAAATGTGAAGTTTCTCTTTATATCCATGCGTCTTCTTATAAGTTGGCAGCTTCTCTTGTTAGGTGTCCTTTAGCGATATGAATGGTTTAAAGCATGAGAATGCAGGCACCATTCCAGTCTATTGAACTCTGTGTTCCTCGTAGAATGCTGAGGATTACTTTGGTTGCTCCAGTGTGTAAGTCTATTTGTGCTGGTTTGTCAAACATCTTCATGGTTATTGTATTGTTCCTCTGGTTCTTTTGCATTTCACCTGTAGTAGATGTCATAATGCTGTGGTGTGTCTAGCATGGCAGTAGTAAAGAAAAATTTGTGCGACTGTGATTTGTTTCTTTATCAGTATCAATTTCTAGTATATTCTTTACTTGATGATTTTGTGCACAACATGATAGAACTGAAACAATGTGGCTAGGATATGGTTGTTGATTACATATGACAATCTTCACCCCCCTTGCCCTCCCCTGCAGGAAAAAAATGGACTTGAGGCCCCCTCAGCCGGTTTAACCTCCACAATGCATTGTTTACTTACAAAAAAATTTATATCAGTTAACTCACCAAAAAAAAAAAAAAATCATTGGCTTGTTTGTCTTCTATGCCTTTTCCCGTGTGGGGATTTTACTGAATTTTTAACTTATGTCTATTTAGGGAAGAATAAATCATTTATAGGCTGCCTTTTTGTGTGTGTGTAATATATTTATTTAGGAGGCATTGGACTGACATTAAAATTTTCAATTCCCTTCTCCTACCTGTGGTATGATGAGGGTTTATCCATGAAATTGGTGCTTTTTATGCATTATATATGTGCAATAATTTATACTTCAGATGCCATGCAATTTTAAGGACTCTAAATGAACCTTACCTAGGGTTAAATTTTTGGAATATGATGACCCGAAATTGATTATTGGCTTTATAAACCTTGTTGAGACAAATGATGTAGTTGTGACTCGCCGGTGAGTGTATGAAATACATGTAGCATTTAAGTAAGTTTTGGTCGATCCGATTCCTCCCTCCGGCCTCCCTGTTATCTGTAGGAGGGCACATTGAGTGGCATTGTGTTTGCTGAAAACTACAGTAGGATTTAATTCTACTTTTATTGTTGTAGAAAGATGCATTATACTTGAAAGGTTTGGATAAATGGAATAAAAAAAATAAATACAGGTAAATGATTAAATGCATCAAGTATGATTTTGTTATTATGAATGGATCATCAGCAAGAGTACAGCAGGATATCTAATTTGATTATATGATTCACAATATATGTTGAGGGAGGGTTTTTCGCTATGGTTGTAAGAAAATCATGATGGTTGGTGGTTTTTCGCTATATCGAATTAAATGTCATTGGGTGGGTGTTTAATTATGGATTCATCAAGTTTGCTTAACAAATTGGTATATTGAGTGAGTTGATTAGTGAAGTTAATTATCTTTTTTGTTCATTGATGACATCTTTCTATTCTTGTTGTATTACGCTGTTTAATTTGATTCTATATGTTATGTCCTAGGTTAGCATAACCCTAAAATTTGAGATTCTAGAGTGAAGTTGATTATCTTTGTTCATTGATGACATCTTTCTATGTTTGTTGTATTACATACTTTGATTTGATTCTATATGCTATGCCCTAGGTTAGCATAACTCTAAATTTTGAGATTCTCGAGTGTAGTTGATTATCTTTTTTGTTCATTGATGACATCTTTCTATTCTTGTTGTATTACACACTTTGATTTGATTTATATGCTATGTCCTAGGTTAGCATAACCCTACTTGACTATGGGTAAAGGTAGGATATTTGATTTGGGAGTAAAAGGGGTGAAGGTCAAAATGATCTTATAAATTTTTTTTTTTTTTTTTTTTTTTTTTTCTTCCCACTTTCTGATACCTAATATTAGTGTAACTGAGTCGTTATTTATATGGATTAGGTTGCTAATTGTTTCTGCAAGTTTGCTTGTTTCTTGTGGGCATTTGTTTTTCCAGCCTCTACTTTCTCTCAGTTTATGCTCTCATTATGACGTCTTGGGTATATATATAATTGTGTAACATCTGGTATGTATGTTTTTCTCTTGGCCATTTATACTTCTAACATTCTGTTTTCATTCTTCAGAACCCGATTTTGATGATCTTACGATACTTTTTCTAGTCATGAAGAGCCATAAAATGTGATATTGAGTTTAAGGTTTGTTTTAAACGATACAACACCTTGAAATGGTGTTTGTGAATTGTTTAACTGTCAAGATAACTGGTACCTTATGTTTATGTCAGATGGAAAGTAAAAAATGATGTGATTATATATGCTATTGGTTGTGTTCTATGTGGGCCATGGTAGGTTAGTGGGCTGGAGTACGGCTTATAAATTTTGTCATTTTTTTATTAAAAAAAAATTAATTCCGAGAAAGATAAAGGATTTTGTGATGTTCTTGGACTATTTTGTTGAATGCCATCATGTTGAAGATTCAGGTTACCTAGTTTATGTAACCATATGGCTGAAATCTGGCTAGCTATCTATCAAGTGGTGAGTTTGGGTCATTTGATGCCATCTGCTTTTCAATAATCTTGTATTTGGTGGTGTTCCTTTAATACCTCTTGTGGCTCTGTTTGATAGGTTCATCTGTTGAGTTCTTGTTATATAAAGATGACTATTAGTGTATCACAGCAAAATATTTAGACTTCTTGGAAGGGCTTTTTTGTAGTAGTTTCTGATAGTTGAATATTTTTGTGTGGTTTTGGTGCCTTTTTCTGATAGTTGAATGTGTGTGTTGATGCCTCTAGGGAACTTTCTTTCCAGATGGAAACTTTGCCCATGTGATCTTGAGCAAATTTGGCCAGTTTTGTTAAACAGCAGTGTTCTCCTTTCCTTTTTTTTTTTTTCAATTTATAATCATATGCTTTTCTTCTACCATTAGCTATACTATCATTTATATATATAGGCTGAAGCAATGGAACTATAAAGGTATACTTTCCCTCATTGAGATTGTAGAGTCTCTCTCTTTAACTTGTGATGGCCCTTTCCATTTGCTGGGTTATTTGATTGCTTCATACGGGTGCTCATAATGTTGAATGACTTTGCAAGGAAAGGAAGTTGAAGTCCTCTTCTTCGGCCATGGGCATTTGAAAAATCACAAGATTTGATTTTTGTTCGTCTTTTGTTCCAACAGTTAGGACAAACTTCCGACTTGGGTTTCTATACAATATAGATGAATTAGCAGCTGGGGCTAGATGGTGCATTCTCTTATATCCTATATCCTGAAACACTGACGATCATTCTTGAGACATTAGCTAGCAAGGACGTCTATCTATGGTTTCTGTACAATATAGATTCTTCGTTAGCTGGGTTAGATGGACACATTCGACTAATATACTAGATCTGAAGATCGTTCTTGAGACACTGATGATGTTGCCTGCATAGCCTATAAAGAAAATTTAAATTTAAATAGATCTATCTATATGTGGATGGACAAAGAAAACAAGAAAAGAAGATACATGATGGGTGAGAGTGGTGACAATGGTGTCACAGCTCCGTTTATTTTGACAGGGCAAGAATTTAATTGAAGACAATTTTGAGGCAATACATTGTAGGTCATCTCCTTTGTATTTGAGAGCATTTTAACTGAGGAAGTGTGCAGCAGTTTGCTCTCCATTTATAATGGTTGGGTAATTACTCGCAAATAAAGAAGAATGAGGCTTTACAAAAGTCAATGACATCTTGAATGATATGTATGTCCATTTAGAGAAATAATGGGACTTTTGAAAAGATATTTTTAAAATATATATTTATAATTTAATTTGAAAAAAAGTACTAAAATGTAAAAAAATTGAACATTGTTGGTCATCTCCTTTGTATTTGAGAGCATTTTTACCGAGCGAGTGTGCAGCACTTGCTCTCTATTTATAATGGTTGGGTAATGGTCACAAATAAAGAAGAACGAGAATGGTTTTTACGTGTATTTAGAGAAATAATGGGACTTTTGGAAAGATATTTTTAATATATATATTGATAATTTAATTTGAAAATAGTACTAAAATCTATAAAAATAGTACACCTATAAACTTTTAAGTAGTGGCATACTAGTTTTTATCTTGTAGCCTGATTCCAGCCTATAAAGTTTCAATAGTAGCATAGAAGATATTACCATGAGGCCTGATTACAGCCGAACTTTTTTTTTCTTTTCTCTTGGAACTTCTGGTTTTTGTAGTTACATCACAATTGGCAATTAAATTGTTTTAAAAAGACTTACATCAGTAGACTTTTAATGATATTGCCCGTAAAAAGAAGGGCCATAAAGTAAGGAAGGTACTTGTTGGTTGCCAAATGGATTAATATCATGCTTCTGTTTTATCTTTGAGTAATGACAGGGAGTGTGAGAGTTTCATCAATTGTAACAGCATTCAAAAGTCTTATACTCCCTCCGTCGCAATCTTTAAGTGCCTAACTATTTTGTGACGGGAGTAGTTTTTATTTTTTTTTAAAGATAAATTGCACCTGACACCTCTTGAGAATTTAGTCAATGCTATACAGCAACTAATTGTTAACTTACTTTTTAACAATAACACTGAGCTTTAAGATCTTTTAAAATGTCTTTTTAACCTTTTAATTTATCAACAAATACATAAAAAATGTAAATAGACCAATTAGCCATTCCTAACAAAATTTAAAGAAATAACATAACACCTTCGTCTCAAACACCTAGCCACAACGTTGTCACTGCTGTCACCACCACTTCTCACTCTCTCATCCTTTATTAAATGAGCGTACACACATATACATATATATTACCCCTCTTTATCATTACACCAACCATAAATATTATCCATCATAATGGGACTTGTGAAATTTTTTATATATTTTTAAGACACCTATTAACTGTTATTTTCTTTTTTATTTTCTTATTCTTCACATACTTTTCCCCCACTATTTATTTTTTCTCCTCTCATTATAATTTTTTTTTTTTTTTTTCATCTTCTCTGCTCTTACAATTTACAACCTTACTTCGTCACAAGACTTTGAATGAACTTTTATTCTATTGAAGAATTTTTTGGAGTATTAGACCAAATTATTGGAAATCAGTTTCTATTGTTCTATAACTTCAATTAGTTTATAGTTTTATTAAATTTTGTTATCATAAAATTATTTATTTTGTTTGTCAGTTCTCATCATTTTTATTTATATTGTTGAATACTTCTTTTAGAAAGTACATAGTCAATTAGTTAACGATAGAACTAGAGATTGAAAATTTTTCAGTACTAAGCATAAAAATCACAAAATAAATAATGAGTATATTACTAGTATGAACATATGGGTAGACTCTATTAAAATGCCATTTTATTTTTTTTCACCTAAAGCCTTAAATTATATTGAGCCGCCCTGGCGGCCGCCACC